CTCCCTCCCCAAACCACCACAGCTGGGGGGGGGGGACGATGACATCCAAGCAACCCTTAATACAAGGGCAGTGGCACAATCCTGGTCCCTAATCTCAACAGGGGGAGTGGGTTTAGGGCTAAGCAGGAAGGAAGAACTCCCATCAGCAGCCCCAGGTAGTCGCCTCTAGGTATGCCCCATGGAAGTCTCCCTTCCACGCTCTGCACGGGCCCGACCCTGCTTAGCTCCCAGGACACGCTACTGCAGGCAGCCAAGTGAATGGGAGCCAACGGGCCACTCCCCCTAGTGACTGACACAGCACTTAGCCTGTCAAAGGGTAGAATTCCACTCCCCGACCAATCAGGTCGAGCGCGAGGCGGAGCTAGACTCACTTCCCTGCCACTGCCCGCCTCGGGGCGCTCAGGAGGCTCGATGCACCTGGATTCCCGCTTACCTACGGCCGTAGTCGTCCTCCTCGTTCTCGCAATCGCTGCAGTGCTCGTGGTCATTCTCCTCTCCAGACGATCGCTGGGGCCGCGACGGCGGCTGCCTCCCTGCTGTCTCACTATCGTCCGCCATCTTGAAACGGGGCCTTAGTGGGTGCCGCACCCCCACAACAAAGTGCGCGGCGATTGGACGCTGCCGCGCGAAGCATGCTGGGATGTGCAGTCTTCGCGGAGGAAGGGAAGGGAAGGGAGCAGTTGAGGAGCAAGGGACTACAATTCCCAGCAGGCTCTGCGTCAAGGCAGCCTAAGCTAGCCAGTCCCGGGCCCGCTGGCGCATGCTGGGACTTGTAGTTATTTGTGTTTGGCGACCACGGGCGCGAGTCCAAAGAGGGACTTAAACGTTGTCCTGGGTCAAGGATGCTTAGACGCAGGGAACTAGACCTCGGAAGGAAGCAGGAGTGGGAAGCTTTAAAGGGTTCAGCAATTCCAGCAGGTGTCCAGCACTTCATACTGCAGCTGCACTAGCTCAGTTGTTCTCAACTGTGCTAGGCTCAAGCCACCCCGTGTCAGACTCACACTTCCCCCCAGAAAAGCCAGCTCTTAGCTTTCACTTGTGCCAACTCTGCAGCTAGGGTGGCCATCATAGAGGACATTCTGCTACTCTGTCCTCTATTGATACAAAACCTGATACCTTTTATGTCCTCTATGTTTCTCGTCAAGAGAAACATAGAGGACATAAATGCATCCAGTTTCCCATCAATAGAGGACAGAGGACAACCAGACTGTCCTCTATGATGCCCACCGTACCTGCAGCCCCAGAAACTGGCACAAGATGCTAGGAGGAGCTCCCATTTTTAATACAGAAAATCAGAGGGGTTGGGGTCACAAGCCAAAGGGAGGGAACAGATAAAAAATAAAGAAACATCAACATTGTGATAACATACACTCAGCACCATAATTTCTCTGGCAGACCTCAAGCAGCAGCCTGCTGCTGCCCCCCAGTCTGAGTCCAGCTCCTTCAGGCCACACTCTTGGCTGACCAAGCCAGTGGGACCTCCTGCTCCCCTCTAAACTCCTCTATGCAGGGCTGACCAGGCTCCACGTGCACTCCGCTGTCTCTCCAGCCTCAAGCTTCCTCTTCCTTTTTTTCCCTTCAGCCACTGGGGGTTTCTGGGAGTTGTAGTCCAAATTTAGCAGTCGGTACAGCTCTGCAGACCGCCCCCAGGTTCCTCTTGCTACTGCATGCATTATGTTCACATTGCACACTTGTGTTTTGACTAGAGACAAATAATAGAGCAAGTCTTCTGTGATAAAGAACTTAGAAAGCCCACAGCAGGGCAGCGTGGCCTTAACACTATCAATTCCCATTTGAAAACTTCGGTTGTGTTATGTAAATTATGTTTGCATACCTAACATTGTGTGGTGTGCTGTGGCACCCCTGAAAAGTTCTCCAGGTGCCCCAGGGTGCCATGGCACCCTGGTGGAGAATCATTCATGTAGATTGTAAACTTTCCAGGTAGGTGTGTCTTTCACGTGTTCTGTAAAGCCTCTAATTATTTTGGGGTTCTGTGCTACAAACAGGCAGCTACCTTAAGGGGTATTTAAAAAACATCAGCAATTGGGTACTGGACATAGACCCCAAAGATCAGGCAGCTACATTAAGAGGTAGGAGGGGATAAGTTTTACATTGAAAGACATCAGCAATAGGCCACTGGACACTAGACTAGATAGAGCTCTTGGTCTGGCACACAGTTCCCATCTAGATCCCAGTTTTCACTATCATACCCTTACCCAAGAAAGTATTTTTTTGCTGTGATTATGTGGTTTATTTTCACATATCCAGCTGCTGAGGGAATTTAATCAAGCAGAGAAAGGTGTTGGAGTAGGAATCTCGGTAGTGCAAGAGTGACCTTGTAGCTGTGATGGTCCAGAAATTATGCAAGAGACGAGGATTTCATAGGGCGATATCTTTTATTGGACCAACTAGATAGCTGGGACAGGTACACAAGCATTTGAATGCAAGACATTCTTCATCAGGTCACCATTCATGAGGAGTCTTGGTATGGCTGCTGACTCTGCTCTTACCACGAAATACCTTGTATCAAAAATGAGTTGAACAAAAGCAGTCAGCGTATTTCACTGTTCCTTTAGGCTGGCTGGATTTCAGCTGATGGGTTACTTTGCAAGACCTGTATCCTGCAGCTGGCTCCACCTAGGTTAATTCTTGATTTCTCTGGAGTCCCAAGATAGTCCACAAGGTGCACGGGGTCTACTCATGTAGACTCCAGTGCAGGAAGGCCCCCGCTAGCTGTGCTTATTCTCAAACCAGTAAACCCTCTAGGAATGGGTCTTGGCTTTCACATGCACAAGGTGCCCCTCAGTAGCCAGGAGGAAAATGCCAACTGTTTCACATGTTTCTTGACTAGGAGACTCTCAAGTGGCTCTCATAGGTGCCTGGTTGAGAATCACTGGGGTAAGTACTGGCTGGGCTCCCTCTGATCCTCCTCTCCTTCCAACCCCAAGTCCAGGGACCACCCAGTCATTCCCCCGCCAGTGACTTAACGTTCTGCCCAGGAGGGGGCGGGGGAGGAGCTAAGCGAATCAGAACAGTCGCGATTGGTCGAGGGAGTGGAGCTGCTTTGCGTTCCACCAATGGCAGGGCATGATAGTGGGGGGTGGGTGAATCCGTGCCCGGCAGCTGGAGAGGTGAGGGGGGCTGGAGGCTGAAGAGGAACAGAGGGAGAGCGCAGGGGGGTGAGCAGAGCGGGTCTCGCGGGTGGGACGAGAGGCAAAGGGGGGCGGGGCGGGGCTGGGAGGCTTCTGGCTCCCTCCAACGGCACGCGGTGCTGGGGGCGGGGCTTCCGCGTTGATGGACAGGGTGAGGGGCGTGGCCGGACCCTAGGGTGCGGCCCCGCGTCCAATGGGAGAGAGCCGGCGCGTGGAACGCCCGCCCCCAGGAGGGGGGTGTCTGTGCCCTGCGGCCGCCGCAGTGACTTGGTGGGGGCGGGTTGTGGCGTCGTGTGTCTGTGGGCAGGCGCCTGCTAGTGGTGCGGTCTCTGCGCCCGGAGCTCCCCATAGGGATGCTCGGCCCCCTGCGTCTCGCCGCGCCCCACAACAGCGACCCTAGTAGTCCTCTGTCGCCAAAAACGGCAGAGAGCCAAGCGCTGGCCTTGTCCTAAAGAAAAAAGGGTCGGAGCTGCTGCATTGCAGGCATCCCCGCAGGCTTGGGGAGTCAAAGGTGAAGCCCCCATAGTTGGGGGATGAGAGCGTATAGGCAGAGTGGGGTCGCGTGCTGCAGGCTCCAGGCCAGGTTCAGGTTGGGATGCGTGGTGGCAGGGGAGTGGTAGCAGTGTAAACTGACAAACCCTTGCTGCCAGAGTTGCAGACTTGGAGAGCCAGGATCAGGCCCTGTTGCCCCCTGTCACTTCCCTGAGTGGAGATTGGGCTGTCAGGACCCTGCCACAGCTTAGCCCCACCCCGTGTGCCAGGATTAGGCCCCAGGGCCCCACATTGCTTCCTCATGTGAAGATTGGGCTCCAGGGAGCCTGCGCAGCCTCTGCCCAGTCCTATTCTGCAAACCAGGATTGGGCCCTTGTGCCAGGATTGGGCCCCTGCTGCCTCGGCCCATATCCACCCTGCACGCCAGTATCAGGCTACAGGCTGGTGTCAGTTCCCCATGTGGAGATTGGGAACCCCGGGGAGCCCCACAGGCCAGATGACAGGATGCAAGGGGGTCGGATTTGTTGAACACCCCTGCACTAGATCACTGCAGTTGGAAGTGGGGCTCACACATGGAGCCGTTCTGCAGCTGGATTCAGCAGTCAGGGTTGGGCAGGCATGTGGCTGATGGGGTGTGTGGGGTTGGTGCTGGTGCAGTATCACGCCTGCATGCCAACTGCTCATGGGATCCGGCTCATGGACTGGCTCCATATACTTATCCAGCCTGTGGGGCTGGAAGGTTGAGCACCATTGCCATGGACTCATGGTAACGAAAAAAACCCTCAGTTTCTTACTCAGGCTTAACCAAGCAGAGACTGATTTTTGTCTAGCCTGGTTTATCAAGAACAGTGGTTCTCAACCTTTTTTGTACCAGGACCATCAATGCCCAGTGCCCCTCACTCCCAACTTGTTGCCTCCCCTCACCTCCAGGCTCCAGCCCCACAGTGTGTTGGGCAGGGCGTGGGTGGGGAGGGGGGTGTGTGGCATGGGGAGCCCCAAGCAGCCCCTTATAAGGCTTCAAGGGAAACGTCAGTTTTCCACATTTGTCTCTTTTTAAAGGAGAATCCATTTTAAAAGTTTCTTCAGAACCCTTTCATACAGTCTTGTAACCCACTTTTGGGTTGCAACCCATGGGTTGAAAAATGCTGATCTAGAAGAACTACTGTTTCCATGGGACGCCAGCTGATTCTATGGAACAACTATTGTGTCATCAGTTCATCAGTTTAACAATCCTATCTCCAAAATACCCTCTTCTTCCTTCAGTTCAGGCCAGATGCAGAACACTTTTGTGCCAGCTTCCTGCATGGGTGGAAAGAGGGCGTTTTTCCACAGAATGACAGCTCAGCCCCACTGACACCTAATACCTGTTTGGCAGCAAAATGTTTAACTACAGCCAAACAGACATTAGAAGCCAATAGGGCTGAGGTGTCATTCCATGGAAAAACAGCTGTCACTGCACCTGCACACAGATGCTGAGAAAATCAGCCTTGCAAAAGATTATTTCTGCATGTACGCTTGAAAGATTGTGAGAAACCACTTGTTGTCTTGGTGCTTTGAAAAGTCCACCGCTTCCTTGTGTCCCAAGCTGGATCTGGCCCACAAAGAAGCCTGCAGTCCAGGTCTGACCTGGGGCACAAGGTGAGTCAGACACCGCTGTACTAAAGAGAGAGCTTTTCCAGTCTCTCACAACAAGGCAGGCTTTTCCAGCTCTCAGATCATTCTTGTAGCATTTGAGAACCTTTTCTAGTTTCCAACATCCATTTTTAAAATGGGAGTATCAGAACAGGACACAATTGTCCAATAAGAGTGTCCCTAATGCTGTGTACAGAGGAAACATCTACTCTCTATTCCTATTTGATACTCCTCTGCTTATATACCAAAGATCATACTTACCTTTTTAGCTAGTGCTGCACAGGTAACACATGTTCAAAGTTACCTACCCCTTCTTCTTTTTTAGCATCGTAGCAGTTTAGAGTTCAGCCTCCCACTGTGTATGCGAGACGCATTATTTTTTGTTCCTTAATACATGATCTCACATTGGACTATGTGCATGCTCTTCCCATGAGTCTATTATCCTATTATGTGATTCAGATTAGCCTGAATAACTGAACTGTGGTCTTTCATTATTTACTATTCCACCAATTTGTGTCATGGACATACTTAATTAGGTAGGATTTTATATATTCCAAATCATTAATACCTTCTTAGAATACCAGTGAGCTGCAATTCAATCCCTACAGGATCCCAGTAGAAATACCACCATAGGATTATGACTCCTTACGTACAGTTTCTTTGGTTAACCACTTAATTCATTTACTATAGGTCACAGTGTTTTTGTAATTGGACTGTTGTGCAGAACCAAGTCGAGCACCTTACAGAAATCTAGTGTAATGGCATTGACATAAATTATCTGCCAGACTTGGAAGTGAGTATGAAGAGGAATAATGCAGCAATTAAAGTCCTGGCAACATAGAAGCGGAGATGTTTTTTATGTTATCCAAATATGAACTTGCAGTAATACTGATATGTAGAAAAAACAACTTGATGTTCTTCACTGGTTTAACCTAATATCAGCCATATAGACCATGGGCTCTGCTTTCGTGAGCAATTACTTTCTTCTTACCCCGTAGCCCTGTGATTTCGTTTTAAGACCAACTGACCAATCCAGCACCAAGTTCTGGAACGATACCTTAAACACTGTGGTTTTTAGGTCCCATATTGCACATGTAGGGAAGAAACAGTTACACTTTCATAAAAATAGCTTGTTACATTTGGTGTCAGGGTTTTCACTTCTGGGCATGCTAGCTTCTGCCCCCTTGTTGCAATACTGTTGTGCCTCTGGCCCTGCCATTCTCTGTGAAAGACCTGCGCAGAAATTGAAAACAGTGGGATTTTGTCATTTGTCCTGTGTCTCAATAGCCCCCCTTATTTTTCCACTACCAGTGCCAGCCCCTGTAAGAGAGCACAGGGCAGGCCCAGACTAACAGTGAGCATCAGTTGGAGGAACATGAGTACAGTCCAAGGTCTTCCACAGGGAAGGTTGCCTGTGTCTCAGACATGTGCAGCATTAGCTTGGGGTTGGAGGGCTGTGGAGCACCCACAGACTTCCTCGGGGCTTCCCATAGAGATGGAACAAGCAACACAAGAGTAGGATGGACCTGGCTGCAAAGGACATTGAAACATTGGAAAGGGGTCAGAAAAGAGTTCCAGATCACAGATCATTCTTGTAAACCAGGCTGATAATGAAAATGCTCAATTTGTTTAATTGATGGTCCCACAGAAAGTTAAGAGGGCACTTAGTTATAGTTCCCAGGTGACTAAAGGACAGGCTATTCTTGATAGTAGAAAGCCTTTACTTTTTTATTATTATTGCAAAAGTATCACAATCATAAAACCTTACATGAAAATTGCTACCTTCCCTAAACCCCACAAAACACAAAAACTCCATACATCCTTTTACCGAACCTGGACAAATCAAAACTCTCCATCCAGTAGAAGGCCTTTTATCTAGCAGATAAAGGCATAAAAAGATCCAAGGCTTGAAAGTTGCAGCTACACAAATGCAGACTAAAAATAAAGTGTGCCTTATTAGCAATGAATATAATTAGCTGTTAGAACTGCTTAGCTGGGGTTGTGTTGGATTTGCTATCACCAGCAATCCAGATTGTATGTCTTTAAAAAAGACATGCTGTAGTTGAACCAGAAGTTCTGGGCTTGGTGCAGAATCACTGAATGAATTTTTCTGTCCGGTGTCAGACTGATCAGAACAGCCCCTGCTGGCTTTAAAATCTATTAATCATAACCCAAAGCAAACAAGATTATTTTTTTAGCATTTATTATATTATATGGATGAATAGGAGCTGGATAACTAGAGTATGGTTTATATCAGTGAGGGCCAACTTTTTGGCAGGCATGCCACAAATTAATTGCTCATTCTCCCCCTGAGTGCCACTCCAATCCCTGTTTGCTGCCCAATATATGTTCCTACTTTCTGCTCCCTACCACATTGTCCCTGCTTGATGTACTAAGTTACGAGGAAGCATAGTCATGCTTGAAGATAGCCTACAGATACAGGCGGATCTAGACAGGCTAGCAAGTTGGGTGGATCAGAACCTGATGAAGTTCAACGTATAGAAACATAAAGTGCTCCACCTTGGGATGAGCAACCCCCCAACACACCTACAGGCTTGGCAGCACCAAACTGATCAGCACCATGAATGAAAGGGACCTGGGGGTAATAATAGACTACAGTATGAATATGAGCCAGCAATGCGATGCTGTAGCCAGTAGGGCAAATGATACTCTGGCATGCATCAATTGATGCATCTCCAGCAAAACCAAGGAGGTGATTCTTTCGCTCTACTCAGCACTGGTGAGACCAGAGCTGGAGTACTGCCTCCAGTCCTGGGCACCACACTTTAACAAGGATGTGGACAAGCTTGAGAGAGTCCAAAGAAGAGCCACCCATATGATCAGAGACTTGCATGGCAAGCCATATGGGGAAAGGCTGTGGGATCTGGCACTCTTCAGCCTGAGGAAAAGAAGGCTGAGAGGGGACCTGGTAGTAGCTTACCCCTAAGCTAGGGGAGTACAGCAAGTGCTTGGTGAGCAACTGTTCACCAGGGCACCCGAGGGGAAACCCAGGAGTAATGGCCACAAACTCCTGGAAGACTGATTCAGGCTTAACAGCAGGAAAAACTTCTTCATAGTCAGGGTGTCCAGACTGTGGAATAAGCTCCCTCCAGAGATCATGCAATCACCTACCCTGGAAATCTTCAAGAGGAGACTGGACAGTCACCTTGCTGGGGTCACCTGACCCCCAGTTATCTTTCCTGGTTGGTGTAGGGGACTGGACCTGATGATCTTCCAAGGTCCATTCTGGCCTTACAATCTATGAATCTACTTCTGTGCCTTTTGCTCCTTGCCCTAACTGTCACAGTGCTGCCCATCCCCTCCCCAGTTTGCTGCATGTCACACACACAGGCTGCTATGCCATTTGTGGCGCAGGGCACAGGTTGGCTACCCTTGCTTTACATAGAGCCATACTTAAAGGCATTTAGAGTCTCCTGTTAGCACAGAAATTAGTGGCCCACTTTGTGCAGCTCATTTTCATTCTGCATGATGACAGCTATGACTTCCAGTTAGTTTGTGGGCACAATTTGTTTGTTGGTCCTGATCTATGAAACTTTCTGCAGTTTGGGTCTCGGTTATGTCAGAGGTAGTCTCCCTCCCATTGTGTTCCAAGTGTTGAGATTAGCAGGGATGGTTTACTTCTCAAGCCCCAGATTTCAGTTTGTGAGGCTTAGACTCTGAGAATGGGGACAGGGTAAGTACTTTTCCCTGTTTTGTCACTGATGGACCATGTAGGCCCAAGTTTTAAGTATCCAGTACATTGGGGGGCATTAATTGAGACTCAGGCTTTGACTTGTAGAAGTACTGAGCACTTACCTAACTCTAGTTAAGCCAGCCAGTGCTGCAAGTGCTCAACCCTTCTAAAAATTAGATGCTGTTGATTCATGTTGTGCCTCCAGAATTAGCTGGTACTAAAAGATTTTGGCCTTATTGGGTCCGTCTACATGAGACACTGCGGAGCAGACTAATTTGAAGCTCAGTAAAGCATCACCGTCTATACGTGCACAGCAGCTAGGGCACAGTAGATTAATTAACTGCACGGCTAGATAGTCCTGTCAGATATAAGTGGTATTCAGCAGCACAGTAAATTACTGCACTTAAATGCACATGTAGATTGTGACATCCAGATTAGTTTACTTTGGCTTAAATTGAGCCAGAGCATATTCAGTCACATGAATTGCATGTGTACACACGCCCACACTCTCAGTTCTCCAAGTTGTGAAACTGGGTCACCTGGTTCAAAGGATGGGCAAACAGTGTTAAAAGTTACATTATATTTCTAAAGTACTTTGAGACCCTCTCCTGAAAACATCATAGGTCCCATAGAAATACAAAGCATGATCTTCTTCGGACTGGTTTGCTTCTTCAGGCTGAATGTTTGCATGTACAGAATGAATGAACCTCCGTGGCATTTTGCTATGTTTTGAGCTTTCTTTCTTTTCCAGAGCAAGATGTTCCTGGTCGGCCTGTCGGGTGGAATTGCTTCAGGAAAAAGCACGGTAGTGGCAGTATTCCGGGAACTGGGCTGTGCAGTGATTGATGCCGATGTTATTGCCAGACAGGGTTAGTTCTGTGCAGCTGATCTTTATTCCTTATATATTTTCCTGACAACCTGGAGTTAATCTTTGCTACTGCTATGCAGTTTAGGCAGCAGAGGGTGCTCTGCATTCAGTTCACAACCTCCCCCCTGTACTTCATTCATTCAAGACAGTAGTGAGAAGTGGCTTCTCAGGGGACTGAAAACAGGACACATTTTATCAAAATTATATGTGCTGTGGTGGAATGATTTAATTCTACATTTCTTCCTCCTAATGTGCAGTGCAGTGGACACTGCTTGATTTTATGGACAAACTGTCTATAAAGCTGTCGTACTTGAGAGCAAAACAAAGGCTTATGATTACCTTCCCCCCCAGACCCCTGACACAGCCACCAGACTGTGACACATGGTCTATCTTAATGCAACTCAGGTTCTTTAATGGCTTTTGGTGGAGCTCGAGCAACTGGTGACCAGTACTGTAAAAAAGAATTTCACCCGCCATTTGCACATGGTTGCAGAGCTTGGTTGTTACGGTTCCTAACTGTCCAGCCCCAAGAATGTCATTCTCGCCTTAAAAAGGCACTCCTAATATCAAAACACCAGGGTCATCTCCAAATGAAGGCAGCATTACATTTAACTCTGTCTTGTACCTAAATACAGTACAGCTGGGGATTTCTAACCCTTGCAATGTCCCTCTGTTCTTAATATGGAAACAACCCAGGAAATGAGATCCTGTGCATGGGGTGGGGCAGGATATCGGAAGATACTGAGTTCAAATCTTGGCTTTGCCTCTCAATTCCCAGTCAGACCTGGGGCAGTCAAAAGTGATTTGTAGTGCTCACTTTATTTATTTATTGGGGGCTGGTAAAAGGTTAATTTTTGCTAAGCACACTTTTTAGGTCTACTAATGAACAACACTAGAGATGTACAAAATATGATTAATAAGAATGCAGTGTTACTCATGTGATTTCATTTTTAAGTATCTCCTGTTTTGTTTTTGTTGAAAACCTATTTACTCACCATTTAAAAGCTGTGATATTTTTACATTTTATTGCAATGTAATTCCCTCTGACATGGAAAACTTGCTAGAAGTGGATCTAGCTCTGAAAGACTGAGGCTTCTGGGACCCACTTCAGATACTCAGCACCAGTTTTCTACCAAGCAATTTGTTTTTCTTCAGTTGCTTTTTTTTTTTTTTTTTGCATTTACTACTTGGATTTAATTTTTACTGAACTTTCCTGAAGCAGTTGTAGTTCCTCAAATATAAAGTTTATCACAGCAGAAACATCTTCTTTCTTTCATTCCTTTTTTCTTTCCTTCTTTCTTCTACTTCAATATCCAGCTGAGTGAAAGAATCTCTGGATCCTTAGAGAAAATTACATGCACTGATTTTTTTCTCCTTCTGTTTATCCTCAACCTTCTCCTAATTCTCCTTTTTTCATTTATTATATCCTCTTGTTTGTGATGTTATGAGTTTTTTTAAATTACCTACTTTCCTAACATCAGACCTTGCTAATAAGCTGCAAACAGCTGTGGGGAATTGGCCTCTGACAGGCTTTCATGTGCAATTTATCATAAAGAATCTCAAGTTGAAGCTTGAGATTGAGCCGGGTGAGAGCTCTTTTGCCTTGATCCTGATGGTAGCTGAAGCTGTAAGAACTTTATTATCCAAGCCCAAGTGATTTTTAATAGCTGGCTACTAAAGTATAATAGCCCTATCTATTTTAGTCATCCAGCACATTTTTTTTCAGTTAGAACAAGCCAAAAACTTGTTCCCTAGTATTGCACGCTGCCCTCCTCAGTGTTTAAATAAGTCTTGTTTTGGAACTCAACCTGCTGACCCTTCAGTTGCCTCACAACAAACCAAATACCAGTTCTTACACACGTTTAAGTTGAACATGTGATTAAATCCCATTAGAGTCTGTGCAAGCTAAACATTCTCAAAGTTAAGTTCATGCTGTAATCTTGCTGAGTCCAATGGGACTTAAGCATGTGTTTAAGTGCTATGCTGAATCAGGGCCCAAGCTCTGTGAAGTATAATGAATGATGCTGGACAAAGAAATCTGTCTCGGTGCCATCCCTTAGGAGGCCATGCAAAATCGATGATAGTAATATCCCCTCCCTTAAAGCATACACATGGAAATAGCCATCAACATATAAAATACAACTCTTGATCACCATACTTTATTAAGATTTAATTTAGTTTTGGGCTCCACAATTCAAAAAGGATGTGGAGAAGCTTGAGAGGGTCCAGAGAAGAGCCACGTGCATGATAAGAGGTCAGAAAAACATACCTTACGATGAGAGGCTGAGAGCTATGGGACTCTTCAGCCTGGAAAAGCACAGGAAAAGCTCAGGGGTGATCTGGTGGCCACCTATAAGTTTATCAAGGGTGCTTATCAGGTTCTGGAGGAACGTCTGTTCACCGGAGCGCCCCAAGGGATGACGAGGTTGAATGGTCACAAACTCCTCCGTGACTGTTTCAGGCTGGATATAAAGAAGAACTTCTTTACTGTCCGAGCCCCCAAGGTTTGGAATAGACTGCTGCCGAACGTGGTTCAAGCACCTACGTTGAACGCCTTCAAAAGACATTTGGATGTCTATCTTGCTGGGATCCTATGACCCCTGCTGGCTTCCTGCCCTTTGGGCAGGGGGCTGGACTTGATGATCTTCCGAGGTCCCTTCCAGTCCTAATATCTATGAAATATATGAAATCTATTATTACAACTTTATTAACTGCAAGGTTTCCCCATTTTGAAAAAAAACCTTTTATTATCATCATCATCATCAACAACAATGATAATGATTAAAGTTTTGAGAATTTTTCAGTAAGGCAAGTGCTTACAATATAGAATCCCATGTGTGACTTGGTGGTTAGAGAAGGGAGGGAAATATCAAAATTCTGGTGGTTTATTTCAGTCCTGCTGCTGACTGGCTATGTTGCTTTTGTTAAGTCCTCTCACTCAGCTTAGTGACTTTTGAAATGGGGCTCATGCAGCTCTTAGGACAGGTGTGAGGCTTAATTAGTGCTTACACAATGTTCTCTTGGATCACAAGCACTGGAGCAATACAAAGTAATCTTAGAACTGGTTTAGCAAACTTCTTTTTGTGGCACCAGCTTCGAAGTTTATTCAGTAGACATCAGACCTTTATCTTGAGATCTGCCACAGCCTTGAGTGAGCGTATGTTAATTAACAGACCCGTTCTATTCTGAAAGGAATATCCCCAGATGAATTCAGTTCATTTCATGCCCACCTTTAATGCAGACCCTTAGTGTGATGCAGAACTGGCAATAACTTCTACCTGTTTCATTTTATCAGTGGTTCGGCCCCACTTCTTGGCCTATCAGCAGATAGTGCATTACTTTGGAACTGAAATCCTTTTGGAGAGCGGGGAGATAAACCGCGAGGCTCTGGGAAACGTTATCTTCTCTCACCCGGAAAAACGACAGGTGCTGAACTCCATCACTCACCCCGAGATCCAGAAGGAGATGCTGAAACAGATCTTTAAATATTTTGTACTAGGTAAGACAATTGTGGGATCCTAGGACATGAGGGTTTCTGATCACGCTGGCAACAAGCAGTAATCTTCACTCACTCTGTGGGGAGAGGGACTACAGGGTAGAAAGGAAGCCAAAATGTTGACTGATTGCCTTTGTGCTGTGTCACTAGTGGCCTTTAGAAACTGTGGCTATCCTTTCACTGTAGTGTTCAGAGACTTCTGCCTTTCATTTCTGCTCTTCACATTGTCTCCCTTATATGGTTTAAAGTACATCTGTAGGGTCTGAAAGGAGCATTGTGTGGCCTCTTCTGAGATTACTTATTGGATAATGTCATACCTTTTGAAATGTTCTAATATTATTCCCCCTCCCTCAATCTCTAGCTTCAATAAAAGCCAAGAAGCTCTTTTAATCTTGATAAGGTAAAAAAATGGGCTGACAGCTGTGGTTTCCAAAGTCCCACTTTCCCCCCTGATAAATATAACAAATACAGCTGTCAAACTTGGTCTAATCAAATGCCAGATAAGATCACCAGCTGTTTCGGAAGTCTCCATGTAGACAGAAGGATGTCTTAATAGAGTGAGTCTAGTTTGCAGAGCTTATCAAGACAGAACTGTGTGACAGCTGAATAGGCCTTTGCTGAGGAGCTGAAGAGACTGTGCTCTCTGGAGAGGGGATGGTAGGGAGGAGGAAAGGAAGAGAGCAAAGGCAGGCAACAGGAAAGGAATCTGTGAAGGAAATGGAGCAAAGGAGATAAGAGGACTGTATTAATTAGGCCATGGCACTCATAGGGGAGGAGCTGTCCTGCTGCTTACCCAGAGCTCCAGCAATTGTTCCATCACATGGTTTTTTCTTAATTAGTTTTGCTTTTGTTGATTTGGGATATTTATTTTTGGTGTCTGAGGGCTTGTTCACGCTGGGAAGGCCTTGAGGGAGGAGCAATATTGGTAGAGCTGTTCTGAGTGCAACCCCCCCCAGTGGAAATGTAGCTTATTCTGGCCAAAGGCCTCCTTACCTGGTAAAACTGCATCTACTTTCATGTCTGTGCCAAGAGATTTGGTATCAATTAAAGAATGCTATTTCAGACCAAGCTTTGGTTCTGGTGGCATGCACATGTGCTCCTGCATGCACATATGATGTATGCATGTGCACCACTCCCCCAAGGGATGGTGATATGATATCCCACTTCCTGAGACTGGATCCTCTCACCTGCTCCAGTCCCTCTTTGCCAGGGATGATTCTGCCATGCTAAACCCCTGCATGGTTTCCAAGTGCTGCCTAGTTTTAACAGGCAGCTTATTACAAAAGTTGTGTCTTTTTCACCCAAATGTGGGATCCCCTTTTGGTCCCAAAATTACACTTCTCTGAAGACTGGGATGCTCAGGTTTCAGTCAATTCCAGCTGACCAGGTTAAGGTCTGATATGTCCAGGTCTTGTGGAAGCATGTTCAGATAGGATTCTTGGCTGCCTAGTGGAGTACACAGCTCTCACTTGCAGCCATCCCAAGAGACTGGAATTTAAAGTCCTGACCTTTCATTTTTACCATAAACAAGCTATTTTAGGTCATTTTTTATTGGAATGTTAAACTTTATTTAATCTTGTCACTCCCACTTGCTACAGTTGAGCTTATGTTAACAAACCCACCTTGGTTTACAAGCAGAGAGAGAAACAAAAATAGCATCTAGGTAGAGAAAGACATAAAGTAGTCCAAGAACAAAAATGACTGTGCACCTATGAGGTTTTCTGTATCATACAATGGCACATACCAATGCCAAGAGAGCTTATTATGGCAGGAAGGGTTTATAGGCCCTCACTTGGGATGACGTATGTGACTCAGACAAGGACTAATAAATGCTGTGTACCACTCTGCACTAAAATGAGACTAGAACTTTTCAAAAAATGTTTGTATTTCACATTTTTATTGTTCTTTAAACTCTCCACCTGTAAAGCCAAGTGGCTTAGTATTGTGAATCCAACTGTATAGGCCTTGACCTGGGAGAGCAACTGCAACTCCTTAATTTGAGGAATACTTACAAATATTCAGAATATGTTTTTCTTAAGCAGTCACTGTACCATTCAGGGCCTTTGCCATGTGATTTGCTATGGCTATAAAACAAATCCTAGACCACAGGTCTCCGAGGGGCTCATTTCTCACCCTGGTGACTGCAAAGTACATTAAATTGATCTCTAGTTCCAGGCTGAATATTGCCCCTGCTGCTCCTCAGACCAGTGCAGTTTCCTGAGGGGGCAGCGGGAGTTTGGCATCTGGAGGGAAACAAAGAAACACTTGCATGGCAGGTGAGAGCAGGACAGAGAGGTGCTCAAAGGTATAAGATAACCAGGGATTCAGGTTTTCCATTTCCCACGGAAAAACAGAGAAAACCACAGATTTCCCGAGAAAAAACGGGTTTTCTCTTTTTCCCTGCAGATTTCTCACTTTTGCAAATAGCTCTGCAGGTGGCAGACTTCCAGCCTGTAAGAGCTGATTGCAAAAAGGGTGGGAAACCCCCCTCTCCCTCTCCCTTGGGGCAGGGTTTGGGAAGGGCAAGGCCTGGGGCTCTCACTCACCCAAGGCTTGGGTCAGGCTCACTGTTCTTGCTGGAGCCTAAGATAAGTGGGGCTTGCAGGGGGCTGGGGGGCACCGGCAGGGCTGAGGGGAGTGGGTCATGGCTGGGGGCCACTGGCAGGGCTGGGGGGAGCCCTGGGTGGTAGGTGCAGGTGTGGGTGACTGCCAGGGCTGGGGAAGAGCCAGTGAGGCAGGTGGGGGGCAGGGCATAGGTGTGTGGCTGGGAGCTGAGGGAGTGGGGAGGTACTGGGGGAAGCCCCACGTGGAGTGCCCCCTGGTGCGCGGACTGGGAGTGGCATGCTGTCAGCCCTTCAGGGAAGCCGCAAAGGAAAGTGCAGAGCCTGCTCAGGCTGATAGCATGCCACTTCCGGTACATGCACTGCCGGCCAGACAGGCACTCCATGTGGGGCTTCCCCCAACACTTCCCCACTCCCTCATCCCCAAGCCAGCTTCCTGCAGGAGTGCCCACCTGGCTGGCAGCCTGTGGTCTGGAAGCAGTATGCTATTGGCACTTCAGGGAAACTGCACAGGGAATTGTGGAGCCTGCTCTGGCCGATAGCATGCAGCTCCCGGTCCATGCATGCAGGCTGGGCTGGGTGGGCTCTGCACCTCTGTGTGCAGCTTCCTGCACTCCTGCAGGATGCTGCACACGGAGGTGCGGAGTCTGCTCAGGCTGATGGCGCATAGCTCCCATACTTTCCTACCACCACTCATACCTGCCTACAAACCCCATATTCTTATGCCCATGCCCCCCACAAACCCTTTCAATTTAATCATGGATTTTAGAGTTGTAATCAGAGAATTTGTAATTTTTTTTATCTGGGAAAACCAGGATCCATGAAGATAAGTACAAGTCACAGTTCCCATCTTGAGGCTCTGCTTTATTTTCCTTATAACTGGGTGCATCTACATGTGCATATTAATACATAGCAACAAGCTCCGGAGCTTATTGCTTCAGATATATCATTTGCACGCATGCCTGGGATGTCAGCATGTTGAGTCAGGTTGGGGCAGTCCCAGCTGGCAGGGGGCCCCAGGGGACAGCCTGCCAGCCCAGGGTTGTTCTTCCTCACTCAGCGTGTTGCGGAGGGGCTGACTGGGGCTTCTCCTACAATCACTGGGGATCTCTATGGTGCTGAGCCACATCTGTACTCTCCCAGCTGGCCCCCAGCCAGCATGGAGGTGAAGGAAATAATTGATTTGAATTCAAGGGGATGAGGATCACAGTACGTCAAGATCAAGGTGGGGATACTTGAAGGACATGAGACGTATTTTATCAAACAGTTTCACAGCTGATTGCTGACAGTAAAGGTAGTGCTGAGAGCAAAGAGTCCTGTGTTCAGTTCCAGAGTCTGCAAAGTGTTTAGTAGTGGCTGCAACCCCTCTGTCCCAGCTTGTTCCTTCATTCCTCTGCTTCCACTGCCTCAGCCTGTCCCTACCCTGTTGTGTTGCAGCTTGACCTTGTCCCCTTTCTCCTCGCACATTATCCCTCCCCGTTAAAGCAAGCTAGGATTTTTCTTCCTTCTCCTCCATGCTGGGAGGTGCCAATAGCAGGGTAGGAAGGAGGGACATTAATGACACAAGAGAGTCTCTCTTCTGGTGCCCAGGCCCAATGTAGTCTGCAACTGTCAGGAGATGTAATTTCAGAGAGATGGAACATCAGTGGGGCTGGCACAAAGGAGTTGTGAGGGGCAGGAGCATCTTAGTCCTGAAAGAACTGGTGTGGAGGTGCCACTCTCCACCATGCCTCTATGGATTGTGTGCAGATAGTGATTTAACTTGTCCACATTTGGGCAGATTTTATGGGCAAGGCTCTGGATGTATCTCTAACCTCTGTGTGACCCTGCTGAATTTCCAGTACCTGCAGTAAAGCTCAGTGGCACTAAAGCCTCTGAGTGAGATGACTGTAAGAACTTTTTGACGTATTTTTCCCTGACTTCATTCTTGGAAACAGCTGGATTAATTTAGCTAAAACTTTCCAAAAAAAAAAAAAAAACCCCATTAAAAAAATCAACCTATAGCAGACATCCAGCAGGGGTAATATTAGCCTAAGCAGCTGAAGTTTGGCACAATTATGAGCCACTGAAAACAGGATTGGTCAGCCTTGACTCAAGGCATCATTGCCAGCACCTCATGTAATCCTGCAGCAAAGGAACAGTGGTTGCACTAGTCATAAACTTTTCCATTCTATTTGGCTTTTTCCAGCCACTCAAAATGTTTTGAAGCTTTCACCTTCTGTTCCGAAATTTTCCAGGGTCAAATATTATTTATTTATTTATTTATTTTTGTGAGAGCAAATCACTTCAGCCATTTTTGAAGAAGGAAACGAAAATGCCATATTTTCCCTGTTGGTAGCACCTGTGCAGCTTTAAACATCTTTTTCCATATTTTATTTGTTTGTTTGTTTTGGATAGGGCAGGATATAAATCTAAAATCTCATTGCATACTATGTGTTTGCATGTGCATGTGTTTGTGTGTGCATGTATGTGTATGTGTTTGTGTGAAGCATTTTGGGTGGGAAAAAAAAAGAGAAATCATGTCTGCATTCCTTTCTGGGGGCTGGGGTTCCTTTCAGGCTACCGTTATGTGATCCTGGACATCCCTCTTCTCTTTGAGACCAACAAGCTAACCAAGTTCATGAAACACACCATCCTGGTTTACTGGTAAGTGGCACTACAGGCTTTGGGAACTAGAAAGTTGAATGTCATTTTTTAAGTGTTTGATCCTGCAAAGTTTTAGTTAAATGCAGCTGTTGGAATACAAATCAACCCAATGGATTCTATCTCCTGGGGAGCATGTGAGAAGATGTCTTTCAGCATGTTTATCTCTTTCTCTTCCTATCCTTCTGTGTGCCTTGCCTACCGGGTCTGGCAGCTCTTCATGGCAAGGACTGACTCTGTCTGGGCAGCACCTAACACAGTGGGGCTCTGCTTTCCATGGAGGCCTATGGGAGTGAGGGTGCAGTGTACAAATGATGCATGATAGCAGTAATAATGAATAATGGAGAAAAATTGCTTTCTCTGAGCCTGTCCAGCTGGTCCTGGACAAACAGTGTGTTCCCTAACAAACCCAATGCCGATGGAGTCAGGACTCGTGAATTATTGCCCAATCTTCCCCCATGTTGGCCAAGCCAAGGCTATTACCATGCTACATAATCTCCCCAGACAGCAGTGGTGACCCTACCACATGCTGTGTAAGCTCATTTGACTCTTAGGAAAAAATAAATTGTCAGCTTAAATACTGCTGGTCTTGGGGTTTGGATTAAAGGTGGTGCTCCTGACTCGTGCTCTGGCCTGGACAAGGTACAGAGCTGAGGCTGGGAAGGGATTAGTTTGGTCTCCAGTCTCCTGGGTCTATTGGCAGGGAGTGTGATGGGTTTGGGGTCAGGATATCCCCCTCCTCTGTAGCATCCCGTCTTGCATGTTCAACTTCTTGTGGGCATTGGGGCCTCATTCCTTGCCAGCCTTCTCTTTTACACTCAATTCTTCATGCCTTCCCCTGGCAGCGATCCGCAGACCCAGCTGTCACGATTGATGAAGAGGAATCGCCTGTCCCAGTCCGAGGCAGAGGCGCGCATTGCCTCCCAGCTGCCTCTGGACGAGAAGCGCAAATTAGCCACTCACGTGATTGACAACTCCGGGGACTGGGAGAGCACACGGAGGCACGTGCTGAAGCTACATGGGCAGCTAGAGGACTCTCTGGAATTTTTGCTGGTGCGCCTGGCTGCGGTCATGGCATTCACTGGGATAGGGGGGGCCGTGTACTTCCTCCTCCGGCATTTTGTCTCTTAATTCACCTTTTTCTAGCTTTTGCCTTTTAAGGGGCCAAAACTCTGCCTGGAATTTCCAAGTTTGAAAAGGGCAGTGAAAAGCCAGGAGTTTTAATGAGCTTTGCTGTCTGAATACAGGCAATGAGATGAGGAGTCTCCTTGCAAACTTCTCAAGGTGAAGCGCGGGTTCGTCACCCAGGCGCCAACTCATAGCTTCTCTCTTTGCACTTTATAGTCATGTTAGTAATAATGAGCACCTTCTGTTAGCAGGATTGGGTGGACTCAGTGGATGGCTCCAGGCATCCAGATGGGAAGTCACTACAGTGTAAGGATGAAGTGTCCAAACCCTGTTCTATGTCATCATGTCAGAGTGCTGGACCACATAACAGAAGGAGTCCGTCCATCTAGTAACCCACCCAGTTGAATTAGGTCACCTTTGGGTCTTGCAGGACAGTCTGATCTGGAAATGGGAATTTCAGCTGTTGTTTATGTTCAGCTCCTTCTCAGAAGCCTCAGCTCAGCACCTTCTTGGATCTGTCCCTTAACCCACACTTTCTCTGTGGACAAGTCATTTCACCTGCCTGTGTCCTCGTCAGGAGACTTGATGAATGTCTGTGAAGTGCCTTAATATCTATCACTGCAGGGCAGGTGGTGGGGTAAACCTTGTGTGGCCTGCCTCGTTATACACCATGAATGGCAATGCAGTCTCTTTCAGCTCTGCTTTTCTATGATCCTGTGACTGTACAGGGCACAGGCAGCCAGGGGTGAAACAGTGTCCAGGCCCCTGAAAGCTTACAGTCTAAATGAGCATTGTTCTAACTTCTACCTTGTAAAGGGTCAACACTGAGGGGCCTTCAGGGCTCCAGTAGGTCCATGAAGGATCTAGTGTGAATCCTTATGGGTGAAACACAGCTACTTGCTTAAGAAACCAATGCCTTTTAATTGCCTCTCCAGTATTAACCTGCTGGTTCTGTAGCAGAGATAGTAAATCTGGGGACAACTGGGGAGCTTGCGTTTAGCATATCTTTTAATCAAGTGATGCCCAGCAGAACACTTCCTGTGGTTCTTTATTCTTTGTACCTGGAGAACTGCTGTTTCCCATCTTGTCCGGCAGTTTTATTCCAGTGCCTGGCTATTCTTCTTCTATAAAGTCCACTGCACAGAAGCAGAGTTTGCAAGCACAGCACAATCCAGTCCTCATCACAGCCATCTCTGGGTGAGCTGAACTGTGCCAAGCCAAGGGCATGGGCAAACTAATGAGTTACCACAGGGTTAAAAGAATGCAGAGCTTTCGTGCACATCAACGGGTCTGTATTCATTCTCTTCCCCTGCAGTAAGTGAGACCTAAACCTGAGCTGCTCGCCTCTCAATGACAGAGGGCTAAGTGACCACCTGTGAGCTTTTAATTTACCATTTACCATGAAGCAGCTGCTGCATTGGAAAGATCCACTCTCCACCTCAATGCCTTTATTATTTCATAGCTACCTGTTTGTGCTGGGCACTACACATACACAGTCCTGCCCCAGAAAGCTAACATTCTAGCAGACAAGACTGAGAAGGCACACACAGCCACGCAGTCAAGTCTCCTGACACCTAGTCGAGTGCCCTGCTCAGCAG